TAAAAGTCATCCACAAAAGAATTTACCGGAAATACGAGGAACAAATTGCGCCCAATTAGTTTGGATTTGTGAACGCCGTTGGTACGAGGAAAGCTTTATTGCTGGTATTGTTTCAGAAATGTAGAGATGTCATCTGTAATGTTTGCATGCCTCATTGACTACAAGAAGGCTTTTGATAGGGTCAGGAATGAACAAATGATGGAAGTGCTGAAGAGGATAGAGATTAAGGGAAAAGACTTAAAAATAATAGCTAACCTGTATTGGAATTAATCAGCGGTACTCCGAATAAATGAAGAACTCAAGAACCTGAGTTTCATGAAAAAGTTGGTCTGAGGGATATGTTTTTCGTTTTCCATATATTAGTTTAAGAAACCATTTCTGAGTATTTTGAAGGGTCACCAGATGGCAATCAGCTACGCCACCCCATCCTAAAATCCCATATACAAGATGAGATTGTACTAAAGACAGGTAAAGCATTTTAAGCTGTTCAACATCTAAAAACTCTTTTAAATAGCGGAATTTTGGTAACAGTCCTCTTATTTTTCTTATAATATTTTTTATTTGTAAGTCCCATTTAAGGTGCCTGTCAATCAAAACTCCTAAATATTTTATGTATTCTGCTTTAAATATTTGTTGTTTTTTATTTATTTTTAATGAGTTAAAAGTTGGCAGAGAATTTTTATATATTGCAAAAGGTATATATTTAGTTTTTTCGTAATTTATTGTGAGTTTATTTATTTGCAACCATGTTTTTATAACTTTGAAATCTTGTTCAACTATAGTCTTAAGATCTTCCCAATTTTCGGCCTTATAAAAAATTGCGGTGTCATCAGCAAAGCTTATTATGTTTCCATCAGTTTTTAGTTTAAGCATGTCATTAACATAGAGTGTAAAGAGTAGAGGGCCTAAAACGGTCCCTTGCGGTACGCCATAATTAATTACTTCAGGATTACTTTCGACACCATCAATTTCTACAAATTGTTTTCTGTCTGTTAAGTAACTTTTTAGTAATCTCAAAACGCGTCCGCTCAGACCATACTTCTCAAGTTTCTCTAACAAGATCCCGTGAGATATCGTGTCAAACGCCTTAGAGAGATCGACAAATATGCATAAACTACGTTTATTAGACTCAAAAGCTTCTGATATTTGTAATGTTAGTTTACAAATAGCATCTTGTGTAGATTTTCTTTCTCTAAAACCGTATTGACAATCCGATATTATACTAAACCTATCCAAAAAACTCACTAATCTATTTTTAAAAATTTTTTCAAATATTTTGGAAAAAACAGACAACAAAGATACTGGTCTGTAATTAATCACGTCTTCTTTATTTCCTTTTTTAAACAGATGTTTGATTTTGCCTATTTTTAGACATTCTGGAAAACAACCATCCTGAAAACATGCATTAATGAGAAAAGTTAAAGGAGTAATAATTTCTTCCTTAATTTGTTTGATGGTTTCTGTCTTAATCCCATCCCAGCCAGGAGATTTTTTGTGTTTTAAAGATTGTATTGCATTTACCACTTCTTTTTGGTCAACGAGATACAAGTACATGCTGCTTTCTATCCTATCTATGTCCTCAATCTGTTCATTACAAATGGGTATTTTTTGTGCATACCTTTGTCCCAATGTACTGTAATGTGTATTAAATTCATTTGCAATTTCTTTTCTGTCAATTATTTTTTCTCCTGTTTTGGTTTTAATCGATTCAATTTTTGTATTTCCTTTTATTTTCCACACGATGAATTAATTACATTCCAAAGTGATGAAGAAGAGGTCTTATTTTTTTCAATTCGTTGTTTTGTATAATTTCTTTTTGCAGTTTTAACTAAGTGTCTTAATTTATTTTTATATTCTGTATACCGTTGTTTTTTTAAGTTATCTGAGGGATCTTGGATTAGCTGATCATACAATCTGTGTTTTTCCTGTACAGACTTTAAAAGTCCCCCTGTCATCCAATCTTTTTTAAAAGTGGTTTTTAGATCATTTCCTTTTAAAATAATTGTATTTTTGTTTGTTAAATTTAAAATTTTGTCATTGAAAAGTTTTACCGCTTCATTTTTATTTGTTTTATTGCAAATATCCAACCACTTTTCCTGCTTTAAATTGTTTTTTAGATTTTTGTAGTTGATATACTTCTTTATTATTATTTTGTTTTCTTTGGTTTTGGTTAGATTAGGAATGGAAACTGCGATTGGATAATGATCTGAAGTAGTATTATTTTCAAGTATAAATGAAGTTATGTTAGTGTAATCAGCAGGTCTTTTTATAAAGAAATGGTCTATACAAGTTTGACTTCTAGGTCTAGTTGTTTTATTTATATAAGAAAAAAAAATTTGTGAAGCTAGAATATTCTGGTATTCTTCAGTGTGATCTAGATCCTCAAACAAATTAATATTGATATCACCAACTAATATATGAAAACACATTCGTTTTTTACTTATGAGGTATTGATGCAAATCTTGATTAAAATTGTTTATGTTTACTATCGGTGATTTATAGATAGCGCTCAAACAGATTTTTGTTTTATTATAATTTAAAATGACTTCAAGTAACTTGATGTTCCCCAATGGTACAACTGAATATTCATATTTTATAGAAGATTTAATGTAAATAATAACTCCATCATTTTTGTTTAAATCGCCATAATTGTATAATAAATCGTAATTTTTTAACAAAAATGGGTGATATACAAGATATACAAGATGATACAATAGTGTTTTCCAATACCATATAAGGGCTGAAAAACTGATGATAAGCAAGGAAAACATAACTAGAGTAAATCTGTATGTAAACCAAATGAGAATTGAACGTGTCTCACAATACAACTACTTGGGAACTATAATCAATGAGTCGTGGGACAATACCCAAGAGATTAAATGTTGCATCGGAAAGGCAAAAAGCGCATTTTTGACTATAAGCTCTGTGTTCAAGAGCCTTGAACTCACCCTAGAAACAAAAATAAGGCTCCTTAAATGGTATGTCTATTCAGTGCTTCTGTATGGAATAGAAACGTGGACATTGAAGGCAGATACTTTATCAAAACTTCAGGCTTCTGAGCTATGGCTATACAGAAGATATCATGGACAGACAAAGTCACCAATGAAGAAGTACTGTAAAGAATGAACACAACTGCGGATTTGGTTAACATAGTGAATGGCCGTAAGCTGCAGTACTTGGGACATATAATGAGAAATCAAGCTAGATACGAGCTACTTCAATGCATTTTGCAAGGTGAAATTAAAGGAAAAAGGACCCCAGGACGAAGAAGAATATGGTTTGCTATCCTGAAAGCATGATATAGAAAAACCTCAACACAGCTGTTTCGTATAGCAAAAAAACACAGTCATCATAGCCAGAATGATCGCCAACGTTCGGAACGGACAGGCACCCTAAGAAGAAGAAGCCAGGGAGACCCTCTCTTCTGTATAATGTTAAATCTGGCTCTACAGAAAGTAATACGTATATCACAAATCACAACCATTGGTTCAATATATAATAAATTAGCGCAAATCCTTGCATATGCTGATTTTATCAATATTGTTGGTAGAAAGGTTGGGAGAACTGTACGAGAGGCGAATGTAGCAATAAAAGAAATGGCTTTAATAATATTAATAATAAACACCAACAAAACGAAAAAAGTAAGCACGCAACCACAAATCCTACGACCACTTGTTACAGAAAATGACGTTATTGAAAAATATGCACGGCCTACAGATTCTATTTTGGGCTTAATATCCTTCTTATATCCCCAATTATATCGAGAAATACAAAAGTAAAACTCTACAAAACAATAATACGCCCAGTCCTAACATATGGTTTAGAGACCTGTAAAAAAAGTTTCGAAAAAAAGTACTAAGGCAAATATATGAAACAGCGAATGAAAATTAAGTGTGGAAAAGACGATACAACTTCTAACTTTATATAGAATATACTAGGAACCAGACATAGTAGAACATATTAAGATAGGACGTCTGAGGTAGATAGGGCATATAATGCGGATGGAACAAAATAACCCAAATAAAAAAACCGGTCCTTGATAGACCCATTGGTTAGAGAAGAAGAGAAAGACTTAGAGAAAGGTTTCTTGATTACATCGAGAAGACATGAGAAATATGGGAATACGTGACTGGAGAGAAATTATTGAGGAGGCTAGCACTCACGCAGAGTTGTAAAGCTAGAATGATGATGATTATGATTTCTTGCAAGAATTCGATAAGCCTTTCGACTCTCTTGTTTCCAGTTTCTAATCCCAACTGTCCTACTATATTTTCAATTATACCTGCTCCTATTTTTGCGTTAAAGTCTCCTAAAATTTTTTACCTAACAATTTGATCTAGCTGCAACCTAATTTATCAATATCTAGCCGTTTTATCTCTTTAATTAGGTAGCTTCGATGAATGTCCAATAACCTCTCACGGGTTAAAAGACTTTAATTATATTTATAAACATTTCTTAAAATTAATTTCATATGTATTCTGTTTTTGTATTGTCTAAAATTGAAGTGAATGTTATCTTCTATTTCTCTGATTTTTTTTTACTTAGTCTTAGACTTTTAGTCATTCAGACTCAACATGGTACAAATAGTTGTCCGTGTTTGTTGTATATTAATAAATATTCAAATCAAAAACAGGTAAACAGGGTCACTCTCTTCTCGCCTAGGGGCCCATCAAGGCATTTTTAAAAAAGACATACGACACTAGGCCACGGTAAGAAAGGCATTTGACAATTGGGTTAGAAACAAAGGTTATGTTATTAACTAATGCATAATTATTTACATGGTTATTTTACTATCCTTTAAAAACATAACTAAGGAGGCATACACTGCTCTCGAGTCTAGTAATAATAAGTACTGAAGGTTCCAAGGGGCTAATATATTATGTTTATGTAAGTTATTTATTAATCTGGATGAAATTATAGTATTATTTTTTGTTAAAAATTAGAATTCTTCAGCAGAGCGTAAAAGACCACAAAAATGTTATGCTTTATTGAAAATGACTCTCAAGTGATTTATACAAATATTTAAATCTTAAATATACTACTAAAACAATTAGCATGCGTAGCTACATCATCGCAAGTTAAGATTTTTCCAGCTGATTTCATACATTCTGTAAACGTGTTTTTGACCTCTGGATTATCTAGTCCATGCTTTTCCAGGGCTGTCCATAATACGTCAACGTCTACGTTTCCATCTTTATCTAGGGCTCCTGATTTTACATACGCGCATTTTAGTACACACTGGGCGTCCTTATCCTTGTTCATTATTTGTTCTTTGAATTGATTAAAGGTCATTCCGGCTTCTTCACGACAAGAGGATAAAATTGTAAAGGATTCCAAATTCAATTTATTTGACTCGGCTTGACTGGATATCTAAAACACAGAGAGACATATGTTTAAGTATGTAAAAGTATTTTTTTTTATTTTATTTAAAATACTTATACCACATCAACCACGCAGGGTTATTAGTGGGATGACAAACACAATAGTTGTAATACAATTTTGTACATTAAATAGTAAAATACAATTTGATGTCTCTTAAATAATTTAATACATTTAAATTTTTTCTGTCAAAATAGATGTGAGGTCGTCTGAAATTCCATGCAATCTTCTTTGATTTTGGAAACATGGGCAATCAAGCAGGAAGTATTTCACTGTCAATGAAGTGGAGCAGTTATTGCAAATTGGCCGTGGATCTTTACTGATTAAAAATTTGTGTGTGACAGCAGTATGACCAATTCTTAAACGGTTTATAATTACTTGATCTCGTCTACTTGTGGGGTTATTCAAAGAGCTGTTCACCTTTGGGCATATTGGGTTTAATTTGGTTACTGAATTTTCCCAGTAATTTTTCCAAATGTTATTGCAATGATCTTTAATCAGATGTTTTATGTCACTATAAGGATATTTTGTAATTTTTGTAGTATCTTCTAAGTTAATACGGCTTGTAGTTGCTAGTTGTTCTGCTTTTTCATTTCCCCAGATTCCAGTATGCGATGGTACCCAAATGAAAGCTGTGTCCTTTCCCATGGAATGAAGTGTTTCTAATTCATTTTTTATTGCTTGTATAATGGGATTTATTGTATAAACTTTCTTTAATTTCAATAAAGCATTAAGTGAATCTGTAATGATGACGCACTTCATCTTGTTAATCGTTTTGAAAAAAGTTAAGGCTTTTAATATAGCTGTTGTTTCGCCTGTGAGTATACTACAATTTGTAGGTAAGTGTATGCTGTAGTAGTTTTCTTCATCAGAATAGTAAGCAGCAGCATGTCCATCTATGGTTTTAGAGGCGTCGGTAAAGATTTGTAAGTAGTTATGGTAATGTGATATGATTTCTGCAAAACGATGTTTAATTATGGAGAAATTTGTATATGATTTGGGATACTTTCTTAGTGTTAGGTCAATGGTAAGTAAGCTTAATGTCCATGGAGGGGAGATTGCATTTGTATATAGCAATAGACTAAATTGATCCATATTAAAATTTGTGACTTTTATTCTTTCTATTAAAGGAATAGAGTTTGTTGACTTTTTAAAAGAGAGGATACCAGGGTGGAAAATTTGAGAGAAAAGAGGATGTTGTTTTTGAATTGAAATTTTGGCAATATAGTTTAGTGATAATTGTTGTCGCCTTATGTTTAGAGGTGGCTCTTTAGCTAGCACTTGTAAACTACTAGTGGGACTAGTTCTAAATGCACCAAGTGCTAATCTTAAAGCTGCAGATTGAATACCGTTAAGCTTTTTAAGGTAGTTTTGCTTGCAGTTATAACAAATGCAACCGTAATCTAGTTTACTCCAAATGAGTGATTTATATAAGTTTATTAATATTTTAGTATCTGCGCCCCAAACTTTATTGGACATAATTTTGAGTATGTTTAAGTTAGATTGACAGGAATGTTGTAGATTATTGATATCATGTTCCAATTTAAGGTTCTGGTAAAAGTTAAACCTAGAAAATTTACTTCTTCTGATTGTTTTAATGCTAAATTATTTAAAGTTAGGTAGGTTGAATACCGGGATCTCTTTTTATTAAAAATTATGTAATGTGTTTTTTCTGTAGAGAAGTTAAACCCAGTTTTTAACGTCCAGTTTTCAATCCGAGTTAAAAAAATTTGTAAAATTTTAGTTGCCGATTTTATATTGTTTGATTTATTATAAACTACGATGTCGTCAGCATAAAGGCTGGCTTTAATTGGTGCTTTAATTTCATCAATAACACTATTAATAGGAATTAGGAATAACGTTGGGCTTATGATGGAACCTTGAGGGATTCCATTATCTAATGTTCTTGTCGAACTTTTAAGGCCATTTATCCTAATTTCTATTGATCGATTATTTAAGTAAAAGTATTTATTCATCTAATGGAGAAGTAAAAACCGACATAGAGAGCATCGCAGAGACCTGGAAAAATTACTGCTCAGAATTATACAAAGACACCTCAAAAGATGACGCATCAGTCTCAGAACACAAAAAACATGTAATCAGAGAGGCTGAACCAATCATTTTACGAGCAGAAGTAGAGAAGGCTCTTAACCAACTAAGAAACAAAAAAGCTCCAGGAATCGATGGCATAACAGCGGAGACTCTAAAAGCAATAGGCGAAATTGGCGTAGATGTAATGCTGGATATGTGCAACATGATATGGATCACAGGTGAATGGCCTGATGAGTGGTGTGAATCAACCTTGATCCCTATCCATAAAAAAGGATCACTAACCATATGCAGCAATTACAGAACTGTTGCCCTTATCCCTCATGCAAGCAAAATCCTGCTACATATAATCAATGAACGGCTAAAGAACTTTCTACTTCCAGAGATAGCCGAAGAACAATGTGGATTTGTACCAGGAAAGGGAACGCGTGAGCAAATACTCAACACCAGACAGATAGTAGAAAAAGCGAGAGAACATAACATACCAATGTTGCTCTGTTTTGTAGATTACACAAAGGCTTTTGATTCAGTAAAATGGGATCCTCTCTGGAGCATAATGGAAAATATGGGAGTACCTAACCACCTAGTTAACCTAATAAGAAATCTATATAATAAAAACTCAGCCAAAGTTAAAGTACATGAAATATATTCAAATACATTCAAAACAGAGAAGGGAACTAGACAAGGTTGCATACTATCACCATTACTGTACAACATATATTCTGAATATATAATGAGAAAAGTACTAGATGAATGGGATGGAGGAATCACTATAGGAGGCAGAAAAATCAGTAACCTGCGATACGCAGATGACACACTTATACTAGCAGCGAATGAAGTCGAAATGATTACCATCATCGAACGGCTAAGCCGAATAAGTGAAGAATTCGGACTTCAAATCAACACCAGAAAAACAAAAATAATGATTGTAGACAGAGCAAATAATAATCTACCGCATATACGCCAAATAGGGATTTTCGAAGTAGTCGACAGATTTGTATACTTGGGCTCTCTGATAACCAACAATGGTGATTGTTCCTCAGAAATCAAACGTAGATTAGGAATGGCCCGAACCGCAACTGCTAAATTAATTAAAATATGGAAAGACCGAACAATAACAAGGAATACTAAGCTTAGGTTGGTCAATGCCCTTATTTTTTCCATTGCTACATATGCAGCTGAAACATGGACTCTCAAAAAAATCGATAGGAGTAAGATCGAAGCCTTCGAAATGTGGGTATATAGAAGAATTCTACGCGTGTCCTGGACAGAACATAGAACCAACCTGTCAATTCTGGAAGAGCTTCATATAAAAGACAGGCTACTAAAAAAAGTAAACCAAGCATACCTAACTTACTTCGGCCACATAGCTAGAAGAACGGGCACCATGGAACTATTGGTAGTAGAAGGTAAGGTAGAAGGCCGAAGACCAAGAGGAAGATCTCCAATACGATGGGTGGACCAAATGAAGAGTTTGGTGGGAAAATCCCTACATGAAGCCGTCCATATGGCACAAGATCGCAGTCAATGGAGACAGCAGACTAATAATATTTAGGGTGTCACTACGCCCTGACAAGGGCTAAAGGATTGAGGAGGAGGATTTATTCATCCACAAAAAAGTGGATAACAGAATCCTAGAATTGAAGTACGTAATAGTTGTTAAGAACTTCCTAATTAGTGGGGAGTTCAAGTATATCAGATTTCATAGGGATGCTTCTAGTTCTGTGTAAAATTTTCCTGTATAAAATATACATTTTCCGACAGTATTATCAAATTTTCGATATAAAAGGTAAATCATATTATAAGTAACTTGGGACAACAATAGAGAGTTGATACTATACTTCTTTTAGCCTATGAAGTCCGATATGTAACTAAGATATGATCAGTGGGCCTCAGTGGGGCGTTACTTAATATTTAATTTCGATCGCTTGAAAAGAAAAAATATTTAATTTCCTGTATTTTATGTTCAGTAATAATATTGGATTTTACTGTATCAAAGGTAAATAAAATAAATATAATATGTATATACAGGCCGTTTAAAAGAAGTGATACGGATTATTTCGAATAATTGAAATTATTTGTCGACATCAAATGTTCATCAAGGTCTCTATAAGTCTCTATTTGGCGTAGAGTAAAAATTATATGAATGGTTTTGCATACAGTTAAATTGGAAAATACTTGCCAAGTTGCTGGTATATCCAAATTTGAATAAAATACATCCAATACTTTACTTTCCGTAGACACTGTATTAACTATAACCTTGAACCAAATTGGCACTAAATCACTTTTGAGTTTTCAGCAAAACAAAATGCTTAAACACGTGTAGTCCAGTAATTAATACCAAAGCTATTGAGAGTATGCAGTCCAGTAATTAGACCGAAGGTAATTTATCATTTAACTAAAACACACCACAAAGTTTGAATTGAATTCCCGAAACACTTTTTTGTTTCTTCTTTTTAGCAAAAGATTTGTCCTATTCACTGTCTGATATTTCACTATCAGAGTCGTCACTATCTGAATTGTCTATCCGAATAATTAGAGGCCGGACCTCATCTATAACTCGCTCGGTTTGAAAAGACTGAACGATTATGTCTTCCGTATGTCTAATACAATTTTGCCATTGTTCTGCCTGTATTTGTTCTAACGATTCTTTCCATAAACCAAGGACGCTAGCGTCATCTTTTGTTTTGGATGCATGTTTATCATAAAAATTTTTGGCTATACCCCAAACTAACTCAATTGCATTATAGTAGCAATGGTAGGGCGGAAGCCAAAAAACTTCATGACAATATTTAAGAGCCATTTGCTCAGTAACAAAGTTCTTTTGAATTTTGTGCTCTCCACACCTTTAAAGTAAATCGACTTTTAAAAATATGTCACTGTGATAAATTTTCTTTTCTGTCAACCACAACTTTATTTCTTCTTTTGTCCAGCTATTTGAAGGAAATCTCTCTTCTACTCTTGAGTGGTAGGATGCATTATCTAAGACGATTATGGATGGTCGCTCCAATTTTTTTAACAAATTTTCTTCAAACCATTCTTCAAAAATATTTGCATCCATATTTCCATGGTAATCACCTGTATTCTTTGTGGACGAAAAAATTAAACCAGCGTCAGGAATAAAACCCTCATTGTTTCCAGCATGAAGTATAATGCAGAGTTTACCATTACCGGAACGACTAGAAGAATAGCATTTCGTGGTGCCATCTCGCCAAGATGATTTTGATATATTTCCTTTAGCGAAAATCCAAGTTTCGTCTAAAAATACAACTTGCCTCGGACTATCAGACATTTTATTGTTCATGTATTTTCTTAAAAAATGCCACCGTTTTGAAACAACATTAGAGAGTTCACACAATACTTGTCTATTATTTGTCTTTTTATATCGAAACCCTAAATGTTTCAACACTCTCCACAAACTTGTTAAACTAATATCACACAGTTCCTTGTCTTTTATTTTTTGCAACACAGCACTAACTGTTACATGTTCTTTTTCTTTATACATATTATATATAATATTTTTAATTGCAAGTTTAATTGACTGGTGCAAATCTAAAGTTTTTGGATGTCGACGATTTCTCTTGCTTACTTTATTTATTTCATCCTTACTCATGTTATTAATTCTTCGGAATGTTCTATCTGAGATACCGCAAGCATCGCATGTGCGTTTCTGAACTGCCATAACAGATGTCATTGAACCCATATTATTTTTTTCTAAATTGAAATAACTTTCGACTTTTAGAACTAAACGCCGTTCTTCTGGAGATAACACTCTACGTTTCGACTGTATTTTATTTTCTTTCAAATTACTCATTTTTTTAAAGTACCACTTCACTACACTACTATAAAAATAGGTACTTATATACAACTACTACACCCTAAAAAAGACGAGGGTTTAAGGACTAAAAACAATCGAACACAAGTTAGTTAACAGCCAATGCTAAACCAACATAAACACTGTATTGATTGTAATTGCAAAAACCGTTCGCATGTTTTAAATAAGGTTTTTGCTAATTATGTATTTTGTTAAATTATTAAAAAACAAAAATACAACCCACGACCATCAATTAATTTTTAACGATAAACAAAAGAGAAATATGATGACGTTTGAATTTGATCTACTTTGTCGTTAACAGAAAGATATTTTAAACAGCATGAATCATTTTTCAATGATTATGTGGATTTAATAAATACATTAGTAAACAAATTTTTAAGTGTGTATAAAATCTTAACTGTCATTTTTCGTGAGAAACAATTATTATGACACATGGTATTTACTACTTTTTATTCAAATAATATGTTTATGTAAATGCATACCTTTGATTATTGGGTAAACCTACATTATACGATACGTCAGAAGAAATTAAACAAAAATTAACATTGCAATAAAATTATAAACCAAGAAACGATAACTTGTTGAGCAGTGCTGATTGAAACAACAGAGCAGTAAAATGTTATTCAAAGAGGTAGTGTAAAATATATCGCCGCTTATCTGGTCAGCTAGTAATAAAGTTACCACCATTTAATTGCAAAGCGGTCTTCTTAGGTGAAAAATCCTTTAGCATCGGTCTACCTACCCTCTGATGCAGCCACCCTACCACCAACAAAGCAGATGAAATATTTGGTAGACTACTTATTGTTAGAAGTCAAAAGGTAAAACTCATTATCGGCTGCAATTCGAATTCTCACCATCTAGGATGGGGCAGCAGAGATAACAACGCTCGAGGTAAATCTCGAGCTTGGTATTGGAGGATATCCCTTTATCTGATCACTGCTGGCTAACCTATACTATTAGTTTAAAAAAAGTCTTATTAAATCTCGCGACCCAAGGAGGATAAATGTAGAACTCTATAACTGACTCTCAGAGGATACTGGGCGGGATAAAAAAGCTTCAACTCTAGGAACTAATACAGAATTGAAAAGCTATCCGGTATCTATCCAAAACAAAATAACTTGCTTATAACCATGCTTATAAAAAAATCCTGTCGATAAGAATGGTCTAAAAAAGTCACAAAACCAACTCTTGGTGGTGCATTGAACTGGAACAACTTAGGAAGACAGCAATAACAGCTTTTAATAAAGCAAAACGCACAAAAATCAAAAAAGATTGAGATTTTTATTAATCAAATCTCAGGAATTTTAAGAAAATCTGCAAACAAAGACAAAGAGTAGCTTGAAGAGCCTACTGTAAGGAAATTAAAGATTTCCCGCTGGCTTTCAGGCTACAAAAAGTGCTGTCAAAGGACCCACATATATCGGCATATTAACAAAGAAGATGAAAGCAAAACTTCAAACTTTTGCAAAAGTGCTGAGATCTTTATGGAAACACAACTTTCCGACCAATTAGTCTATCATCCTTTATTTTGGAATAGATGAAAAGGCTAATCGAGCAATACATAAGGGATGAAGTTCTGGTTCAAAACTCATTTCACCCAAATGAGCATGCATATACTTCGGGAAGACATACCGATTATGTACTGCATCAAGTAGAGGATAGAATTAAAAAATCGCTGGATAATAAAGAATCCCCCTTAGGTATATTCATAGGCATTAAAGAAAAGTTTGATAAAACCACCTTTTCAACCATCATTCAACAGCGTACTGTTAGGAATTTTCCCCTGGTCGTGAGCGAATTAATATTCAGTATGCTCTGTTACAGAGCAACAAGCATATGTAAATGTAGAAGACCACAGAGAAGTGTGATATCACGACTCCTTTGAAACATAGTTCTAGACACCCTGATTAACCAACTCAGCAGTAACCGGTTCTACACAATATAACACATTCACATAATCGGAACATCGCACAAGAGTGACAATCTGAATAAAGTACAAGCTTGTGCATTAAGTGAACATTCTATTACGATGGGCCACACGGCTAACACTATGATCAAGCAGAAATATTGAGAAGGAAAAGAAATTACAATAAAACACTGTTTCTAGAAATGTGTTTAATTAAAACTACACAAAATACCTCAAAGAAAAGAGAAGACATTAAAAATCTTAGTGCTAGATACAGTAATCTTCTTTTAAAGAAAAGAACAACAACTATATAAAAGTTCTTTTGCACAGATGAAAGGGATTATTCCAAGTTCAAATAAAATAAAATTTATTTTTTTATTTGTGTGGTTTTCCATTCTTAATTACTTAGTACAATAAACTCTGTTGCTTATTTAATAAGTACAAACTAACCTAAAATAAATATAGAAGACGTGAAAACCATAGTAATTAGTTTTGACTGAAAGAAAAAAGAAAAGCAAATTAATAAAATGTCAAAAATGTTAATTCTGCTAAGTTTATAATACAATCCTCACACGGGTAAGCCTGTTGAAAATACAACAACTTCATTGTATAATGTAGTTTTTTGTTTTCATTTCTAATATATATATATATATATATATATATATATATATATATATATATATATATATATATATATATATATATATATTATTGTGATATTTAAAGTCTTGGTGCGCCAAGCAATTAATTAGCTAATTAATTAATTGATTTATTAAAATTATTTAAATGATATGATTATGACTCTATCACACTTTTTAATTCTCTTATCTCAGGGTTTAAATTCGTGCTTCAATATCTATGCTATTACATGTGAAAGGTAAGGTCCAAAGAATACCGGAATAATAAAAAACACATATGATATAACACTATATATTGAAATAAAATAATGAAATAATTCACACTTAAATGTTTTCAATAAACAAAATCTCATATAATGATTCGCAAAATTTTGTTCTACGTACGTGAACCTTCAAAATTAATGGTACAAACAATATTAGTTGAAATCTCAACATCCAAATATTATTCTAAATCTCCTAATCAAAATATTTATATCCTTTCTAAATTAAGTGTAAAAATTGTGTTATCAATGAAAGAAAAACTGCAGAAAACAAAACTATCTCTCTCTGATGATGAGTGGTCCAAATCCTTGTTATTTGTAGACTATACTATTTACTCGTGGCCGCTCCCTAGGTAATCAGCAATCTTACAACAAATTATTGCAAGTATATCGTCCTTAATGATCTCCTTCAAATGCACGAATCGTTCAAATTATGCTAGCTTCTTCTTCTCTCAATAAACTGAATCTCTCGTTGGCCTGAGTGAAAAATGACTCTTGGAATATCTTTTCTTTACGATAAACTGAATCTCTCGTTGGCCTGAACAGTGACTCTTGGAATATAAGTAGAAAAATATGACTTACAATATTTTACTTGATCAGCTTCTGTCAGATACACTAACTACACGAAAACTCACAAACTTT